TATGCAGCCATCAAAAGAAATGAAATCTTGCCATTTGCAATGACGTGGATGGAACTAGAGAGTATTATGCTTAGCAAAATAAGTCAGTCAGAGAAAGACAATTATCATATGATCTCCCTAATATGAGGAAGTGGAGATGCAATGTGGGGGGTTTGGAGGGTAGGAAAATAATAAATGAAACAAGATGGGATCGGGAGGGAGACAAACCATAAGAGACTCTTAATCACACAAAACAAACTGAGGATTGCCAGGGGTAAGGGGGTAGGGAGAGGGTGGTTGGGTTATAGACACTGGGGAGGGTATGTGCTATGGTGAGTGCTGTGAAGTGTGTAAGACTGACGATTCACAGACCTGTACCTCTGGGGCTAATAATACATCATATGTTTATAAAAAAATAAAAAATTTTTAAAAAAGAGAGACAAAAAAAGATTTTGTTGAATAAACAATTATATAAACATATATATGCACATAAATCATACCAGAATCTTTCAACCTCACCTACTTATCCCAAACCTCACTTGGCAATCACTCCAACTCTAAGGGACAAGTTGCCCCAGATAAATGTAAGACCAAGTTGTAGGGACAGAGCATGACCTGAAAGGTTATGCCCAACAAGTAGGTACTCCTTGGATTAGTGCTTTTCTCAGAGCCAACTTCACATCCTTGTTTCTCAAGGTGTATATCAAAGGATTCAGGGAAGGGGTAACAATATTATTCAACACCTGAACCACAGAATCCAGCCAGGGGCTGGAGGCAGGCCAAAGATAAATGAGGACCACGGGTCCATAGAAGAGCAGGATGGAAGTCAGGTGGGCACTGCAGGTGGAGAAGGCTCTGTGCCGGCCTGCTGAGGAGCTGATTTTCAATATGGAGATAACAATGCGAGTATAAGAAGCGAAGATAAGAAGAAAACACAAGAGTGCCACAACACCTACATTGGTGAAACTCACAGTCTGAGCTAGAGAGGTGTCTGCACAGGCCAGGGGCAGCACCACCGGGATATCACAGAAGTAACTGTCCACCTCATTGGGGCCACAGTAGGGCAACTTAAAGATGAGGAACGTGAGGACAGATGCATGCAGACAGCTCCCCATCCAGGTGCCTAGTGTCACGACGGTGCACACCCTGGGGTTCATGATGACTGTGTATCTCAGGGGGTGGCAGATGGCTGCAAAATGGTCATAGGCCATCACGGTGTACAGGAAACACTCAGTGCAGCCTAGGAAGTGGTAGAAGAAGAGTTGGCAGGCACAGCCCTGGTAAGAGATGGTCCAGCTTTGCCCCATGAGGGAGAGCATCATTTGGGGGGAACTCACGGAAGGGAAAAATATGTCAAACACAGACAGGTTTCCCAGGAAGAAATACATGGGGGTGTGCAGGGTGGAGGAAGTGAGGATGGCCAGAAGAATGAGCAGGTTCCCCAGAAGAGTGAGCAGGTAGAAGGCCAGAAAGAAGACAAAGAGCACATTTTCCAGCCCTTTTGTGTAAGGGATTCCCATCAGGAGGAACATGGTTACAGGAGTGTGATTCCTCATCTCCATGCCTAGTCAGTCCTGAAAGAGCAAAGAATGGCCTTGCTGAGATGAACTTTTCCCCCAAAACTAATATCTTCAAAGAATTCACTGGAAACTGAGACTTCTGTTACTACAAAAGGGAGTCAGTCCAAGTCTGTCACTAATCAATGCGTGACATGAGTTAAGTCTTTTGTTTATTTTTCCTGTTTTCTTCTATTACTTCCTCAAGATCTCTAAGATTTATATGCTTACCAGACTTGCTTAGTTTAGAACACTTTAGAACCTTAATTTCCATTAATTTTTTCCTTGCATTTTTTTTTTTTAAGATTTTCTTTGTTTGAGAGAGAGAGAGAGCATGAAGAGGGGGAGAGGGAAAGGGAGAAGCAGGTGTCCCACTGAGCAGGGAGCCTACACAGGGCTGGATCCCAGGACCCTGGGATCATGACCTGAGCCAAAGGCAGACACAACTGACTGAGTCATCCAGGCGCCCTCCATTATTTTTTTTTCTTTTTAAAACCTATCTCTATTGATTTTATTTGTTTTTATTATATATAATAAATATATAATATTTAAGTAACTCCAAGAATTAATTATTTAAGGGGTTTATACATCTCATAATTATCATCTCTATAACTCTTTAAAACAAACACATTAGGTTCCTTCTTTTTTAAAATTTTATTTAATTCAGTTACTTAACATATAATGTATTATTTGTTTCAGGAGTACAGGTCTATGATTCATCAGTCTTATATATACTCAGTGATCATTACAATACATACCCTCCCCAATGTCCACCACCCAGGTACCCCATTCCTCCTTCCTCCTCCGCTCCAACAACCCTCAGTATGTTTCCTATAATTAAGAGTCTCTTATGATTTGTCTCCCTCTTCATCTTGTTTCATTTTTTTCATCTGGTTTCATCTTGTTTCATTTTTTTCCTCTCTTCCCTTATGATCCTGTTTCGTTTCTTAAATTCTACATATCAGTGAGATCGTATGATAATTGTCTTTCTTTGATTGATCTACTTCACTTAGCATAGTACCCTCTAGTCCAGCCACATCGTTGCAAATGGCAAGATTTCATTTCCTCCTTTTTTTTTTTTTAATTCAGTAGGCTCCACACCCAGCATGGAGCCCAAAGCTAGGCATGAACTCATGAACCTATGATCAAGACTGGAGCTGATATCACAAGTCAGACACAACTGACTGATGCACCCAGGTGTCCCAAAATATACACATGTTAAGAAAAGATAAAGCTATAATGAGCCTCTGTGTATACCATCTCATTTTGATTTCCTAGAATTGTTTGTGACAAAATCTTAAGAGTCATTAAAGTAACAATTAACGAAATAGCCCAAGATTGTATCTTTATATTAAGTGTTTTTCCTATACTTCCTGTATCATTAATTCATTCAACAAGTATCTGTTGAAGAAATTCATTTGTCGGGGCGCCTGGGTGGCTCAGTGGGTTAAGCCTCTGCCTTTGGCTCAGATCATGATCCCAGGGTCCTGGGATCAAGCCCCACATTGGGCTCTCTGCTCAGTGGGGAGCCTGCTTCCTCCTCTCTCTCTCTGCCTACTTGTGATCTCTGTCTGTCAAATAAATAAATAAAATCTTTAAAAAAAAAAAAAAGGAAGTTCATTTGTCACCCAGTCAGTCAGTTTCAAAAGACTACCATACATATGGTTTTTACATGAGTTTATGAATATATGATTTACACATTACATATGAATATCAGTATATAAATTTGTAAGGAGAAATAAAACACCATATTTACTGGAAAGCATGTGTTAGTGGGTCAGCTTATTTGTTTCCAAAGTAATAATAATCTACATTCAAAGCAAAATACTCTTTCAGGGTTTTACTAAGTGTAGAGTTAAATCAGAGGGAAGAGGATGATTATAACCAAGTGTTCTGCTATAGTAATTTGATGCACTTTTCTTTACCATATCAGCATACCTGTCAAGCAGGTCAAAATGTCCCTGTCAGATGTTCTTTCCTCCCCCCAGACCCAAGAGATATACTATCCACTTGTTCAACATCTACTTCTTATTTTCCAGTTTTATCAAGATATAGTTTACCTATTATAAAATTCAACAATTGTAAGTGTACAGTTTAAATATTTTTATTAAATTTATACAGTTGTACAGACATTGTCAAAATTAAGAATACTTCCATCACCCCCAAAATTTCCCTGGGGCCAACATGCAATCAATTCCCACTTCTATTCCCCTCCCCAGGAAACCAACCACTAATTTGCTTTTTGTCTCTACACATCTGTCTTTTTTAGAACTTTCATATAGATGAAATGAAATAATAGGTAGCCTTTTGAAGTTGGCTGTTTTCATTAGCCTAATGTTGTCAAGCTTCATCTAGGATGTAACATGTAAAAACAATTTGTCCTTTTTGTTGCCAACTAATATTCCAGAGTATGAAGATACCACATTTCATTTATCATTTCACTAGATGATGGGCATTTAGGGTTTTCTCAGATTTTTTTAAATTTAAATTCCAGTTAGTTAACATACAACATAATATCATTTGCAGGTGTACAATATGATTCAACACTTCCATACAACACCTGGTGTTCACAACAGGTGCACTCCTGAATCCCCATCACCTATTTAACCCAGCCCTGGCCCACCTCCCCTCTGGTAACCATCAGTTTGTTCTCTAAAGTTACGAGTCTGTTTCTTGTTTTGCCTCTCTCTTTTCTTCCCCTATGATTGTTTTGTTTCTTAAATTCCACATATGAGTAAAATCATATAGTATTTATCTTTGTCTGACTGACTTATTTTGCTTAATAAAATACTCTCTAGCTCCATCCACGTCTTATATATAGACCACACCACATCTTCTTCATCAATTTATCAGTCACTGGACATTTGGGCTCTTTCCATAACTTGGCTCTTGTTGATAAGGTTGCTCTGAACATCAGGGTACATGTATCCTTTTGAATTAGTATTTTTGTATTGTTTGGGTAAATGCCCAGTACTGCAATTGCGGATTATAGGATTGTGCTATTTTTAACTTTTTGAGGAACCTCCATACTGTTGTCCAGAGTGGCTGCAACAGTTCTCATTCCCACCAAATCTCACCTTTCTCAACATCCTCACCAACACCTATTGTTTCCTGTGTTGTTAATGTTCCCAGCTTTGATTATGAATAATATCTCTATGAAAATTCCCATACAAATATTTTTGTGTATCCATTCCCTTTTCATCTATCCTCAAAGACTGTAAATTGTTTTTTGAGGTTTTGTTGAAATTCTCACAGTATCTTCTCTCTGATATTAGTGATAAGCCTCATAAAGTCTAAATGGTAGAATAATTTTGATAGACATCCAATGTCACCACTCAAATGTTTATTCTTATAGCTTACTCTTTCAAAGAGAGCTCTTTTCCTGATTGTTTGGGTCAGCCTTGAGCAGAACTTTATACAAAGAGGTCACATATAAGGACTGTCTAATATATTTCTGACATAAGTTCTTTCAAAAGAGCTTGAAGCCACAACAGCTTTTTGGAAGTTGAAGTACTTCACTTTGAACTATCAGCTATCACTGTGATGAAATTTGGGGTCCTCTCTGCTTTCCTCCGTAGTTACTCACACCACAGCAACAGATGAAGAAAGGGACCTCCATGCCTCACTCACTTGCTAACTGTTGAGCTATTATGGTACCACATGCCATAGAAACTGATAATCCCGCTAACACCTAGGGTAGGATGCATTACCCAAGTCAATATGTAAGCAAAAGGGAAACATAAACTAAATTCTTTGAGAAAGATTCCAGAGACAGAACAAAGGGGGAACCAAATGCTTTCACTGGGAAAAAAAAAATTAAGAAACATATTTGGCCACAGATCTGAGCCATATTTTTTTAAGGTTTATTTATTTATTTGAGAAAGAGAGAGCATGAGCTGGGAAAGGAAGAGGGGTAGAGGGAAAGAAGCAAGCAGACTCTCCACCAAATGGGAGCCAGACATGGGGCTCGATCCCAGGACCCCAGGTTCATGACCTGAGCCAAAGGGAGATGCTTAACCAACTGAGCCACCTAGGTACCCCAAGCCATATTTCTTAATTTAGTAACTACATAACTTAATTATCAGTAATCAAGTTGCTATTTTTATGTACTCAAACACCTTTGTCTTCATCTCAATTGTTTCTGGACTTGGGAGGGAAATCAAGAGTGTTGCCCCCCCCCCCCCGCCAACATCAATAAGTAGATTACACCCCAGGTTGGCAATTGCAAAAGAAATGGATCAAATTGTGGGCAGCCTGGGGCATGGGGGATCAATGAGGGTATAAGATGAATTTGTGAAAACTTTTGGGTGACAGTGAACTGACTTAACACATCTCACACTGTGTGACTATACTGAGTGCATATAAAAGACTATGACTGAGGTGTCAAAAAATGAAAGGAGTCTCTAGTCCAGCCATTCAGAGACATCTATTCCTTCCATAGGTTTAAGTGAGCTGAATTTTCCCAAAGGTAAGGGAAATGGTTTTCTAGACTCTGATTCAGAGACAGTAGTTGCTAGCTCTTTCATGGGTTTGAATACGGATAGAATTTCTCAGGTTTAGAACAGATCGCAGAAAGGACCTACTCTGCAAGAGAACTATGTGAGGTGAAATAGAGAGATGGAGAGATATTAGGTATAAATTTTTATCTCAGAAAGATTGTAGACTATTTGAGAAGATAGGCCATTCATTAAAATTGTTTCTTTTCCTTTTTAAAATAATGTTTATTTCAGTGAGGTTCCCTGTCAATGCAGAGCCTTCTTTTTCCTGAAAAACAGGAACACCAAGTAACTCCTCAACTTGCTTTAAAATATTTTGAAGAATATTCATCAGATTTCATTTTCTAAAGGTCCATTCCTTTCATTGCAAGGGCAGCATTTCAATTTATTTCACAGTGTCAGCTGGGACGACTGTTAGTGTTCAATTTCGTCAAATGTGGCATTACAGAAACAGAAACTGAATAATATATAGCAATATAGTTAATATCCCTAGTCTCTAGGCAAATGCTATGGGTTTCCTTTTTTGCTGAATTTTCTATCTTTCTTTATTCCTTGGTCCTTGTACTTTCACCTAGACTTGAGTCTTCACAGTCTCTTCTTTTTTTATTCAAAGCCTTTATTCCAATCATGTATTGTTTGTTCCAAGTCTGTCTTGCCCAATATGTTTTGTCCTCTGTAAGGACAGAGATTGTATCTATCTAGCATACTATCCATCCTCTTTGGATAGCACTATATCAATATATAAATAGTAAACTGCCAATAAATATTTGATGTTACCCTGATGGCCATCCTTCCGACTTAATTGTATTCTGGACTAGTCACTGATTGAAATATTAAATAATAACTTAAGAATCATGTAACTACCAAAATGATGATGATCTAAGAACTCTTATAATTTGTATTTCTTACTGATAAGTGAACAATTAAAGCAATAAGAACTATCTGCTGGTAGAAGAAATGGATCATTGTAGAATGGGATGTTTGGAGAAAGTATCACAGAAATGTTTGAGGATGAACAAGAACCCAAAATTTATGTGGTTCTCATAAAGGCAGAAAGAATTATAATGGACATTCTAAATCAGGAAAACCATGTAAAGAAATATGTATGGCAGGGTATGTCTTTAGCAAATGAAATAATCCCAAATGAAGAATTACAATAAGAAAAAAAGTTTATATAAGTTGGACATATAACTGTGAGGGAGCACTTTTTTTTGACATTCGCTTCAAAAAGTAGAGCCTAATTTCCCACTGGAGGTGGGCTAAATGTACTGACTCACTTCTAACAGAAAGAAAATAAAAGCAGGAATGTTGTACATGATTTGGGAAAGTTTGTCATAAAAAGCTTTGCAGCTTCCTGTTCAGACTCTCTCTTGGATCAGTCACTTTGGTAGAAGCCAGTTGCCATGTTGCGAAGACATGTAGATGACTATATATAGAAGACACCCAGGTACTGACTGAGAGACTGTGGCCTTCTCCTAACAGCCATGTAATGAGCCATCTTGGAAGCATGTCCTTCAGCCCCAGTTGTACCTTCAGATGAGTGCAGCCCTACCCAACAGTGTGCCTACAACCTCATGAGAGATCCCAAGTCAAGACCACACACTAAGTTACTCCAGGATCCGTGACCCTCAGGAACTGTATGAGACCATAAATGATTTTGTTTCAAACTGCTTAGTATCTGAGTAATTTGTTGTACTATAATGCAAATGGATACAATACACAGATAGTGCCATGGATTCAGGAACATTCAAATAAAGTAAATAAGGTGGCCCTGGACTAATAAAGTAGAGATATTAGCAACTGTTAGAGTAAATCAGCTAGTTTTATATAAATACTTGATTTCCATCATAGACAGGTAGATGTTACTCCCACAAATACTTCTTCCCTTTTACTCTTTGCATAAGTAATTTAGTGGACACTCTGTTCTGATCCCATCTGACACTAGTCAGATACACAGTTTTAAGTTAATCAGGCCGTGACCAACTGAATGGATATTACAATGGGGTGGAAAGGAGTTGAGGTTCTTATTTTCCCATCATTGTTTATTTCTACTTATATCACCCAGAGCACTTTCCTCATTATGTCCAATGTCTCACTGTTTGTCTCTCCTGCAGTTACTTAACATCCTTGTGCCTCCATTTTTTCATATATAATTGAGGAGAGTAAATGTATCCACCTAATAGAGATGCTGCTCAGATTACATTAGTTAATATGTGCAAAATATTACATGTTAATGTGAAAAATATTAGAACCGTAAATGGCATATAAAAAGCAAGATATAAGGGTTAGCTTGATTATACAGAATTTATGATTTTTCACTACTTCTTATAAGGCAGTGAAGGTTTAGTTCCAGATTCAGACTCCTTTGTGACAATACTTCTCTGACTTCACTTCTTTGTGTCAATACTTATCTGATGAAGATAGGTTTCTTCATCTTTAAAAAAAGGATATCACAGTATTTACCTCTTGGGATTTTGTGAGTTAACTTAGTCAATACATGGAAAACGCTTAGAACACCATCATACACATGGTAAGATTTTTCAATGACAGCTTACTGTTCTAGATGTTTGAATGGATGACTGAACAGATAGGTAATTGGCCTGAAATTCATTTTATTAAATGTTAAAATTTAAGTGTTGAAAGATTTAAAATTAGTAAATATTGTTACTGGGTCAATTTCAATTAATTACAGATATATTTTCAAGAAACAAAAAGTATCTATAGTGTATAGAGAATTCTAGCTCAAAAAGCCTCTCCTCTAAAATTTACAGGAATCCACTCTTTTATCTTATAAGAATAGATTAATGACCAACTTCTCACTTGAGATATAATGAGTAAATTTCAATGCCAGACATCTCTGAGGGCCAAAGGAATAAAGCTCCAAATGGAATTATTGTCTAATGGGAGCATATCATTAAAGCCGAAGTTATAAATTAAGTTTAAACCTAAATTTACCAAATGGTACAATCCTGCTTTTAAGTTTTATAGCATGTCAACCATGAAACCTAGCTTTGTTGAATGGCCAGAGACAGACTGTAATAGAATAGAGTAAGGCATACATTTTGGAAGGAAGGATGGGAAGAAGAGGGAGAGAAGGAAGGAAGGAAGATAGGCCATGGCTTCTAGAAACTTGAAGATTTGTGGTAATTGATCAAACCAGAGTTCCAACAAGTGCAGCCTGTGTGAGGCAGAAAAAGTACATTGTTTTGGCAAATTAAAAAGAGATAAGGCTGGGTTAATCTGGAAAGTTTCCATGTAGGATTAAATCAGTGGCTCAGGGGACCCCTACCACGTGACTGTCAGGACACCTAAGGAACTGATAATAACTTTGCCTAGTTCACTATTCGGCCACAAACCCATTCTAAAGTAGTGGATCAGAAGCAACTTCACAAAGAATTTCAGAGAGGAATTGCCCCCATACCTTATGCCCCCGAAATGTGGACCATTTGAGTGAATACTTTTCTCAAAGCCAATTTCACATCCTTTTTTCTTAAGGTGTAAATCAAAGGGTTGAGAGAAGGAGTGACAATATTATTCAACACCTGAATAACAGAATCTAGCCAGGGGCTGGATGCAGGCCTGAGATAGATGAGCATCACCAGCCCATAGAACAAGAAGATTGAAATCAGGTGGGCACTGCAGGTTGAAAAAGCTCGGTGCCTGCCTTCAGAGGTGCTGATTTTCAATATGGAAAGGACGATGTGACCGTAGGAAGTAAGGATAAGGAAAAAACATGTAAGAGTCACAACATCCACATTAGTAAAACTCACCATCTGAGCTAGAGAGGTGTCTGCACAGGCCAGGGGCAGCACCACCGGGATATCACAGAAGAAATTGTCCACCTCACTGGGGCCACAGTAGGGTAACTTGAAGACCAGAAATGTGAGGATACTTCCATGTAGGCAGCCACCCAGCCAAGTGCCCAACGTCAAGCCAGTGCACACCCTAGGATTCATGATGATGGTGTATCACAAAGGGTGACAAATAGCCATGAAACAGTCATAGGCCATCACGGTGTACAGGAAACACTCAGTGCCCCCCAGGAAGTGGTAGAAGAGTTGGCAGGCACAGCCCTGGTAAGAGATGGTCCGGCTTTGCCCCATGAGGTAGAGCATCATTTTGGGGGAACTCACGGAAGGGAAAAATATGTCAAACACAGACAGGTTTCCCAGGAAGAAATACATGGGGGTGTGCAGGGTGGAGGAGACCAGAATAGTGAGGAAGATGAGCAGATTTCCCAGCAAGGTGAAGAGATAAAAGGCCAAAAATAAGACAAAAAGCATGTTCTCCAACCTTTCAGTATTGGGAATTCCCAATAAGGTGAACTCTGTCACAGAAGTGTAGTTCCGCATGTTCGCACACTGGGGCATCCTGGAGAAGTAAAGCAATAGTCGTGACAGATCACAAATGACTGTGAAAATACCTTCTGAGTAGAATTATTTCCGAGGCAAGGGCCACAAGCAACAGGGGTCCAAAAAAGGAAAAGGAGACCAACACTAATCTGGCCCTGAAGCTAAGTCATGTGTCACCTCCAGCCTGTTTTTTCATGTGTTAAATTAAATCACAGAGTAATATTTCTTTATAGTTGGCAAACCTCTTGCAGGAATCAACTCTTATTATCAATTTTATAATAGTTTCTCCCAATCTGATTTATCATCACACAATCTGGTGCATTTCAGAGTCATCTTCTCCAAGGAAAATTTGTCATCAGGTAGCCATCTTATTTTAATATCAGCCAAGTTGTAATCAGTTGGTGGTAAATAGGCCCTACTTATTTTTACCTTCAACAATACTCTTTCCATTCTCCAGTGTTTATATTCAAGAAGAAAACTAGACCATTCATATTTATAAGCTACCCACACACTAGAAATGTATCTTTCTGAAGCTAGATTTATTTATTTACTACAGAGCTCACAAATCTAAATTTCAATAACATTAATATCATTAGCTTTATTAATGTCAGCAGATAAACCTAAAAAAAAAACCCTTGATTATATTTTCAGAAGGACAATATCTCCTTCTGCTCATTTGTATCCAATTTTATGTTATCCTTCCATATTTGTCATTGGATATAACTGATTTCCCTCTGTGATCAATATTTGTTCATAGGAAATCATCTGATAAATATATTCATACCAGCTTATGAATTGCTGATATGTTACTATCTCCTACATTATCTTCATTTTAACAAGGATAAAGTCTGATGGACAAAAGTCTCAATAAGTAGAATTTCTAGCAAGAATAAGAAAGTAGAGAAAATAAGAGCTCAGCAGACCATTCTTGAAATCAATCTATAGAGCCACACCCCTATATAAAGCTTGTCCTGCTCAAAGTGTTTGAAAAGAATATGATCCCAGCAAAGATAGACAGGAAGACAAAAAGACTCTTTTTCAGCCCAAAATGCAGTTTAAATATTGAGTTTAAGCCATGACAAGTGATTTAAGCTCAAAAACATTCATTTTTTGTCAACTTGCTAGAAATATAAAGATGAATAAAATGAAGTATTCTTCTTGTAAAATCTTACTCAAGAGGTACATAAAATTGGTTTATAAACCTGACCCTATCTCTGCCTTTCACTAACACTGGGGCCATAAACTATTTAATATCTCTGGGCCTCAAACCCTGCAAAAGAGTAATGGGTCATAATACTGTCTGCCTCATAAGGTCTTTGTGAGGATTGAATGAGATAATGAACATGAAATGGTTACCTCAGTGCTTGGCACTTTGTAGTAAATGTTCGATATTAGTTGAACAACCAACCTTATGCATGTAAGACACAACCAACCTTATGCATGTAAGACTGTGATAGTATGGGTGATAGTATGGTAATGACAAAAGCAGATGTGATGGAGATATAATTAGAAATGTATTTGAAAAAGATCTGTGAGATTTGAAAAAGCAGACAAAGCATAAACATGGTCAACTGATCTTTGAACAAGGAGCAAAGGCAATACAATGGAGAAAATATGGTCTTCTTAACAAATGTATCTGAAACAACAGGGCATCCATAGGCAAACAGATAAATCTAGACACAAACTTTACACCCTTCACAAATGAATCACAGAGATAAATGTGAAATACAAAAGTATATATAAGATTCCTAGAAGATAACATAGAAGAAAATCTAGAAGACCTTGGGTATGGCAATGACCTTTTAGATACAGCACCAAAAGCACCATCCATTAAGGAAAAAGTTGATAAGATGAACTTCATCATAATTTTCAAAAATTCTGCTTTGCAAAAGACAGTCAAGAGAATGAGAGGACAAGCCACAGACTGGGAGAAAATATTTTACAAAAGATATATCTGATAGAGGACCATTATCCGAATTGTACAAAGAACCCTTAAAACTCAATAATAAGAAAACAAACAACCCAATTAAAAATTGGGCCAAAGTCCTTAATAGACACCTTACCAAAGAAGATGTACAGATGTCAAATAAGCATATGAAAAGATGTTTTACATCATATGTCCACCAGGGAAATGCAAATTAAAACAATAATGAAATATTGCTACAAACTTAATAGAATCAGCCAGAATCCAGAACACTGGCAGCACCAGATACTGGTGAGACTGTGAAGCAGTGGGATCTCTCACTCATTTCTGGTGGGCATGTAAAATGGTACAGTTGCTTTAGAAGACAGTTTGATGGTTTTTCACAAAACTAAACATAATCTTACCATACAATCCAGCAGTCTGCTCCTTGGTATTTACTCAAAGGAGTTGAAAACTTATATCTACACAAAACCCTACACATGGATATTTATAGAAGCTTTAGTCATAATTATCAAAACTTGGAAACAACTAAGACATCCTTCAGTAGGGGCATGAGTAAATAAACTATGGTACATCCAGAAGTGGAATATTATTCACCACTAGAAAGAAATGAGCTATCAAGCCATGCAAAGATATGGGGGAAACTTAAATGCATATTACTAAGTGAAGGAATCCAATCTGAAAAGGCTACATACTGTGTAATTCCAACTTTACGACATTCTGGAGACAGTAAAGAAACTAGTGGTTACCCGGGTTTAAGGGCAAGGGTAGGATTATTAAGAAGAGTACGGATTTTTAGGGCAGTGAAAACACTCTGTGTGATACTAAAATGGTGGACATATGTCATTATATATTTTCCAAACCCATAGAATGTACAACACTGAAGGTGGGCCCTAATATAAACTATGGACTTTGAAAAATTATAATATGTTAATACAGGTTTATCATTTAACAAAGTACCACCTGGTGGGGAATGTTTGATAATGCGGCAGGCTGTACATATGCCAGTGACTGCGGTATATGGGAAATCTCTGTTTTCTGTTCACTTGTGCTGGGAATCTAAAATTCCTCTATAAAAAAATAAGTCTTTCCTTGAGAAAAAGGAGAGAAAGACACTCAGGTTAGGAAAATGTTATTTTCATTAGATCCACAGAGAGTATTAGGTAAATAATACCGACAGAATTAAAAGATCTCTTTGTTGACTAGAAGTGCATAAACTCTCCCTTTAATCTGAACCTTTCTGTTTCTAGATCAACAACCGAATTCACAAAGGTTTGCCCCAGGAAAAAGTGTAAATTTCACAAATTACCTTAGATCCACTTTTGAAATATTTCTCAGTCCTCCCCTGCTGTCCGCACTCAATGACTCATCTCCATCCAAAGTTATTTTCAAGAAAGAACGTAACATCAGTCCAAAAAAAAAGGTTTTTTAAGACCACATGTTGCGTAATCATAAAGTCATTTGGAAAAGGACTAAATTTCCATCACAGAAGATTTTCAAGCAGAATGTATAGGCTCATCTCTCGGGGAAATGAATGAAGGAATTAATTCTCCTGCAAAGGAAGGTAGACAGCATGTTTTCCTCCAACTGGAAATTCTAAAACCTAATATTATTAGCTTTTTATAAATTTTGTGTTTCACTATCACCACATTCACTGAAATTTTCCTTTTATGCCTTCATTTTCAATGAAGGAATGAAAATATGCCCCTGTTATAGGAAATTCTCTTATTAATAAGAAGAGTGGATTGATATTGATAAGATGTCAAGAGTAGGTATAATTTCCAATTTTTGTACCATCTGCAAAATAGATTCACAAAGAATCCATCCCCTTCAATATCACCACCTACTCCTACAAACCACTTTCCTGCCACACAAGCACACTTTAATCTGACTTCACCCCTTCATTTCTTTCTGAGGGCACAATTACTATGGGTCGCTGAACTCAGCCACATCTAAGAATTTTCTTAAGTTCCAGGATTCTCCTTCTTCGGTTGGTTGAGGAGGGGAAATGAGCAGGACAAATACAGAGTAGAAATAGGACAGAGAGAGAGACAAGAATCGTATAAGCAGAACAAAAGTTAAAGAGAAGCAGGCAAAGTTTTAGACACATACCAGCTAACGAAAAACACATCTAACATGGTAGAGAGATTTTTCTAGTTTCTAGGCAAGAAGAATGTGTTCATAAGGCTAAAACCCTATTTTGGTGTAGGATGCCACACACAGAGCCAAGGTTTTGCACTCTCTGCTCTCAAACCTAAGACACATAGATTCCACACTCAGCCCTGCTGTGTAGTCTGACCCTGAAATTCAGGATTTATGTTTTCAAGCTGGAGAGTTTCTTTTGAGACATATCCCCAGTGGCCCAATACTCAGACTTACAAAGCATGAATGAGCAAAGGGAATAATTAGAGAACTTTCTCTCCTTCCTCATACCCCTCTTCCATTATTTACCTCATTGTTTCATAATGACATACACTCATCATAAAAGTAGCATTGCAACTTTATATGCTTTTTGGTAAATATCCATTAAAGCAAGAAAATATACCACAGTTCCTCTGCCTTACCATTACCAATGTTAACAGTATGGTGTTTTCTTTCCAATCACTGAACCACATGGTTATGGTATATTTTGAACTACATACAATCATACCACATATGTAGTTTTGCATGTCTCCCTTTTAATTTCAATTTTTAAATTAACAGGTTTCCTTATATTTCCCAAAATAAATTAAGCAGGTAGGTAGATAAATAGATAAGTATATATATAAATTACACTGTGATAAACCTCTTAGCTCATACAGTTATCCATATTTGAGACCTCATTAAAAATAAGCTAACCTATGGGGTGCTGGGGTGGCTCAGGAGGTTAAGTGAATGACTCTTGGTTTCAGCTCAGAACATGGTCGCAGGGTCATGAGGTCGAGCCCCATGTCAGGCTCCTCAGTGTGGAGTCTGCCTGGGATTCTCTGTCTCCTTCTCCTTCTGCTCGTACCCCTGCTCACTAGCTCTCTCTCTCTCTCTGGTTAAATAGATAAAATCTTTAGAAAAAAAATAAGCTAACCTAAATAGAAATGCC